GTTGTTGTTGTTGTTATGTGCCATCAAGTCGGAGCCGACTCATAGCAACCCATCCTTGGGTTTCCAAGGCAGTATCACTACAGAAGTAGATTGCCCCACCTTCCTTCTGAATATTAAGTAATAAAAATTTGGCTCACTGGGTACCTCAGTGTGAAAATGTCCAGGCACAATCCCAGACAGTTAAGTTTGAACAGATCTCAGACCACAACCAGTTGTGTAATCAAAAAAAGATGATGCACGCTTTATTAAATTAGCACGGATTGGAGTTTTACAAATTGCAATAATTCTCAACAAACAGACCTGTGCTACTACAGAGTGATATTCAGAAGATATATAAGCAACTGTTGGGATGATAACAGGATCAAATTCCACCCTGTGCAATAACTTCCATTTTTATCAATCCCATTTACAATAATTACTTTTTACTTTTGCTTACTTAGTCATAGAGTAATTAAGCATTAAGAATCCATTCTCAATTATTTCTGCACCCTGTTATAGATACTCTCCACTGGGAAGAATAATTTTCAAAGTGTGTGTGTGTGTGTGTGTATTGGCCTGAGCTTATTTCTGGAAATGCTTAAATACCAAAGTATTTTAAAATCAATAACTACAAATACCACATGACTACACTTACACACTTGTGTTATCACAGTCATATTTTACAATATTTTGAGTAATCAACAGCTTATGATTCCAGTTGTCTTCATTGCTGCAATTGATTGCTTTTTACTTTCATGCACATTCAAAATTTCTTTAAAAAAAATGGTGAAGCAAAATACATCGTGTATCCTTGATATTCTGGGGTGCTAGGCAGTCATTCAGAAATAAATGTTGAGCTTCTTGGGAAAGCAGGAGAGCAGCCCTTCAGAGAGGGGTGAGCCGCTCACCCTCAGTCATGAAGGCTTCGTTCATGCACCCATCCTTCGTGTCCAGGGCATCACAGGGGATGCCATTTTCGATTGCGATCACAGTTTCACATTTATCTTCGGCATCTTCTACTTCAGATGGTCCTTTATTCTTCCTAAAAGCATAAAGAAAATGACTAGGATTAAGGAGGAGAGCGCATAGCCAGCTATGGCTTTCTACACAAAACAGGGCAAGGAAGAGTAACCTTACAATGGAGGAAATAATTGATGATATTGTGTATTTTCAAATAAATTTCAAAGATCATAAAGAGCTGATGAGGTAAAAGGTACTATCAAGATAAAAAGTCTTCATGGATGATGTATATATATTGATCAGAATAAGCACTCTTATTTAATTACTAAAATTAATATATATGAATATATATATATGAATGAATGTATACATGCACATGTACATATACACTCACACACTCAAATTGAATGAAGGGGTGTAAAGAAAATGTATGGTAAATCAGCAAATTAAAAAACTTAGCTCTTGGAGAACTTTAATAAAAATTAAATTTAAAAATATGTAATAAATTCCTTTCACAGGATTTGGTGAATGAGTGGTCTGCAGATGTGGAGTGAAAATCAATCTGAAATAATATATGAGGAAGCAAATTCACAGCACTCTATAGAAAGTAAATAACCATTACCAAATGCACATATTGCTGTTTAGGTCTACTCATTACCAAACAGTTGTGTTCATTTGTAAGTTGGGTTTTGGGAACTCAGAACACATTTTCCTAATTACATGTGTTGCTTCGTAATTATAGCTATTATTCACAGCATTAACTCCACAAAATCATTCCATAAAATTCTACATAGCAGGATAAATATTTGAGTTTCTCATATTCAGATTCTTTGTAGATCCTGCTACCCCAACTCAGTCTGGTAACCAGACCCTTAACATTTCCTTGGAGTGTGGAAAGTTGTAACCCCTCAATTCAAAGATTCTTCCTGTCATTTGTGAAAGACCAAAGACCCTGAGCCAATTATGCTTGATGTCATGGAGGTAGTGTGTGTGTGTGTGTGGGGAGGCGGGGGATAGGTGTCTCTCTGGGTAACCAGAGGGAAGAGAGAGTTCCTGAGGCTGTAGCACAGGTTGGTTGTTCAGCACCACTCCATGGTGACACCATGGAGGCACAATATTACACATGCGGCTCCCAGTCTTGGCAATGATTCTCTTGTTCCAGGAATCTGTGGAAACTCCAGAAAGGCAGATGCATCCCCTGGTTGGGATAACAAGCGTTGCACTGGTGACCTAGATGGATTCCCACCACTGCGGAGGCTGTTATGACCTTGATGAGTCTCTGGTGGGTGAGGAGGTGGTGAAGCTACCTCCATGATGATGCTGATGGAATTTCCTATTAGTTCTGTGTGAAAGCCAATTTCAGTGTACTTTAAAGAATATGGTAGTGAGAGGGCAAGAAAAGAAAAAGTTCTTTACAGAAGAATGCAACTAATATCGGACTCACAGAAATAGAAAATAACCACTACAATCACAATGGATTAAGACAAGATGCATCAATGAATACTAAACCATTGAATGAGAGATTGTTAGGGAATAGGTTTCAAAGTATCACCCCCACAAGCAATGTACTCATTACAAAGAGAAACTTGTATTTTTGACAAAGGAGAAATCTGGTGAACACCAATAATGAGACAAACTGACCAGTTCCTCCAGATAAGAACACACACACATAAATATTTCCATGTTCCTGTTCCCTGTCTCCAAGAAAAAAAAATTGACGTGAATCTCACCATGAGGAACCAGTCAGATAAATGCAAACTTAAAGATATTTTGTAAAACAGCTGATCTGGATGCACCACAGAGTAGACACTCAACTAATGTGTTTAGAAGTAAATAGACAGACACGTGGCTGGCCAGCTAGGTAGATGGATTGGTGGATGGATGAAAAATTGGTCAATGATTGTAGATCAATGGCTGCCTGGTGGAATGATGAATTAAGAGGTGGATGGTCACATGGATTGATAGAGGATGGACCGGTGGTTGAACAAAGAAATGGATGCATGGATGAAGGATGAACTAATGATTTAACCAAAGTTACTCAGAAAGTAGCCTAAGCTAGATCTTGAAAAGGATTGATCTCTGCTTGGTCTACTAGATTGATTGCATTGACCATTGTTTTGTGGTTATGTAAGAAAATGTCCTTGTTCTTAGGAGATGCAGGTTAAAGTATTCAGGGGTGGTATCATGGTATCTCTGACTCTCCAACTGTTTATAAAGAAAGAGAGATAAAGTAAATGTGGCAAAATGTGAATGCTTGGTACATCTGTGTGAAAAGTATATGGATGTGCATTGTTCTATTATTACAATTTACCAATCTGAAGACGTGATATTTTTCAAGATAAGCTGCAGGGAGGCTTTTAAAGCCCTAAACACTGAAAAGATTATACTACTTGCTCCATATGCAATTCAAAACAAAGGCTATTCAAAATTAAGCAAAGAAAGAAGAAAGGAAGGGAGAGAGGAAACATAGACATGTGACATTTCTTGTGTGTAGCCCCCTTCACTCCATCCTACAGACAAAAAGAAAAAAGAAAGAATCCATGTCTCAATGAATCAGATCTTTGGTTTTACTGGTAACTAGGAAGGAGTTGAATAGCCAAGGGTGGCATAGTACCTAAGGCATTTTTGACTGCTAACCAGAAGGCTGGCAGTTCAAACCCACCAGCCATTCCTCAGAAGGAAGGTTGGGCAATCTACTTCTGTAGTGATACCGCCTCGGAAACCCAAGGACGGGTCGCTATGAGTTGGATCTGACTTGACAGCAGTGAGTGAACTTCATGAAACTCCATAATCAAACTGTGAGCCCCAAACTTCTATGATCAGAAATGCCTTGAAACTATTAGCCAGAATGATTCAAAATCTTTTAGATTACTATAATTAATATCAAAACTGAAAGAGAAACATAAGTCTATTTCAAGAGGAATAGGACTTATGGTACAGAAAAGGAACAAAAAATCACAAACTCACTCAGTTAATCTTTCTTGAGGGTCAAGATGGTGGCTGGCATGAGAACAAAAACACAGGGCATGGGGTCCTAGAGCCTTCCAGAAGGAGCTTACATACTACCAGAGACAGAAGAGAGTTGCAGATAAGGATTATGTGCACAAGGGAAAGGAACCTGAGTCATCTCTTGCGATCTAAAGAGCAGTGCAGCCATTCCATAAATAACTGTTTGTTGTTGTTGTTGTTATGTGCCGTCGAGTCAAACCCGACTCATAGCGACCCCTCCTTGGGTTTCCGAGGCAATATCGCTACGGAAGTAGGATTGCCCAACCTTCCTTCCGAGGAGTGGCTGGTGGGTTTGAACC